TTATATATATAAAAATTTATTAATATATATATATATTTATATAATATATATATATATTTTTTGTATTCATAATATATATATATATATGTTGTTTTACTTTGATCATTTTTTTTGTGAATGTTTCGTCAATGTTTTTTGTTTTAAATAAAAATTTTATACTTTAAAAATAAGGGGGTGGTTAGGAAAAAAATTTAAAAAACAGTTTCAGGAAAAATCTTGATTTTCCCTGAAGCAGTTTATTCTTTTTTTAGGGGGGGCCCCCATTACAGTTATATATATATAATTTATATATAATATATATATTATATATATATATATTATTATATATTTATATATAAAATAATATAATATAATATATACATATTTTAAGAAAAGAGGTAAAAAAGATACACGTTGATGTAGGGCGAAATGCAGTAGTTTGTTGGATTATGTATTGGTAGATAAAAGATTTGATAGATTCAGGATGTACTTTTTATAGAGGGGGCCACAGAAATTCAGTCACTTTCTATTTGTAGTACATGAGAGAAAAGGTAGAGGGATACAAAGGGGAATAGAAGCACGGGAAGAGAGAGGTGAAGGTTTATAAACTAAAAGAGGAGACAGTTAGGGTAAGATATAAACAACTATTGGGGGATAGAGGGGCAAATGAGAGCATAGGCAATGGGGTCGAAGAGGTATGGGGTAGGTTTAAAAAATGTAGTGTTAGAGTGTTCAGCAGAAGTTTGTGGTTACAGGAAAGTGGGGGGCAGGAGGGAAGAGGAGCGATTGGTGGAATGATGATGTAAAGAGAGTAGTAAGGGAAAAAAAAGTTGCATATGAGAAGTTTTTTACAAAGTGAAGTGATGCAAGGAGGGAAGAGTAAAAATTTGGAGAAAAAGAGAGAGGTTAAGAGAGTGGTGAAAGCAATGTAAAAAAAAGAGAAAAATGAGAGAGTGGGTGAGATGTTATCAACAAATTTGTTGAAAATAAGAAAAAGTTTTGGAGTGAGATTAACAAGTTAAGAAAGCCTAGAGAACAAATGGATTTGTCAGTTAAAAATAGGAGGGAGAGTTATTAAATGGAGAGTTAGAGGTATTGGGAAGATGGAGGGAATATTTTGAGGAATTGTTAAATGTTGATGAAGATAGGGAAGCTGTGATTTCTTTGTATAGGGCAAGGAGGAATAACATCTTGTAGGAGTGGGGAAGAGCCAGTTGTGAGTGTGGGGGAAGTTCGTGAGGCAGTAGGTTTAAAATGAAAGGGGGTTAAGGCACCCGGGGATTGATGGGAAAAAAGAAGAAATGTTAAAAGCAGGTGGGGATATAGTTTTGGAGTGGTTGGTGGCAATTATTTAATAAATGTATGGAAGAGGGTAAGGTCCCTTGTGATTGGCAGGGGAGCATGCATAGTTCCTTTGTATAAAGGCAAAGGGGATAAAAGAGAGTGCAAAAATTATAGGGGGATAAGTCTGTTGAGTGTCCCGGGTTTAAAGTGTTATGGTAGAGTATAATTGAAAGAATTAAGAGTAAGACGGAGGAATAGGATAGCAGATGAACAAGGAGGCTTTGGGAAAAGGGTTTAGGGGGTGTGTGGACCGGGTTTGTTTACAGTGAAACATATAAGTGAAAGTATTTAGATAAGGCTAAAGAGGTCTTTGTGGCATTTATGGATTTGGAAAAGGCGTATGACAGGGTGGATAGGGGGGGCAATGTGGCAGATGTTGCAAGTGTATGGTGTAGGAGGTAGGTTACTGAAAGCAGTGAAGAGTTTTTACGAGGATAGTGAGGCTCAAGTTAGAGTATGTAGGAAAGAGGGGGAAATTTTTTCCCAGTAAAAGTAGGCCTTAGACAAGGATGTGTGATGTCACCGTGGTTGATTAATATATTTATAGATGGGGTTGTAAGAGAAGTAAATGCGAGGGTCTTGGCAAGAGGGCGTGGAGTTAAAAGATAAAGAAACACACACAAAGTGGGAGTTGTCACAGCTGCTCTTTGCTGATGACACTGTGCTTTTGGGAGATTCTGAAGAGAAGTGCAGAGATTGGTGGATGAATTTGGTAGGGTGTGCAAAAGAAGAAAATTAAAGGTGAATACAGGAAAGAGTAAGGTTATGAGGATAACAAAAAGTTAGGTGATGAAAGATTGAATATCAGATTGGAGGGAGAGAGTATGGAGGAGGTGAACGTATTCAGATATTTGGGAGTGGAGTGTCAGCGGATGGGGTCTTAAAAGATGAGGTGAATCATAGAATTGATGAGGGAAAAAAAAAGTGAGTGGTGCACTTAGGAGTCTGTGGAGACAAAGAACTTTGTCCTTAGAGGCAAAGAGGGGAATGTATGAGAGTTAGTTTTACCAACGCTCTTATATGGGTGTGAAGCGTTTGGGGGATGAATGTTGCAGCGAGGAGAAGGCTGGAGGCAGTGGAGATGTCATGTCTGAGGGCAATGTGTGGTGTGAATATAATGCAGAGAATTCGTAGTTTGGAAGTTAGGAGGAGGTGCGGGATTACCAAAACTGTTGTCCAGAGGGCTGAGGAAGGGTTGTTGGGGGTTGGACATGTAGAGAGAATGGAGCGAAACGAATGACTTCAGGTGTATCAGTCTGTAGGGGAAAGGAAAAGGCGGGGTAGGGGTGGCCCTGGGAAAAGGGTTGGAGGGGGGGGTTAAAGGAAGTTTTTTTGGGGAGGGGCTGGACTTCCGCAGGCATGCGTGAGGTGTTTGATGGGTAAATGGAGACAAATGGTTTTTAATATTTGGGACGTGCTGTTGGAGTGTGAGCAAAAAAAAACATTTATAAAGGGTTCGGGGAAACCGGCAGGGGACTTGAGTCCTGGAATGGGAAGTACAGGCCTGCATTGAAGGGGGGGTTTTTTAATGTTGCTTTTAAAAACGGTGTAAGCCCCCTTTGGCAAGAAGTGGGGTGAATGAGGGTGAAAAGTTTTTCTTTTTCGGGCCCCCCTGCCTTGGGGGGAATGGCAGTGTGAAAATAAATATATATTATATTATTATATATATTTTTATTATTTTATTTTATTATATATATATATATAAATTTTTTTATCTGTGTGTTGTACTCAGCTGGGGTTTGGGCGGGAGTCAAAAGCTTATGGTCCTGACCCAAAAGGCCGGGGTGTATGTGTTGTGTTGTGTGTTGTGTGTGTGTGTGTTTTTGTGTGTGTGTTTTGTGTGTGTGTGTGTGTGTGTGTGTGGTGTGTTGCGTGAGCAAATACAGGACTGTGACCCCCGTGAATCGAACCCGGGGACATTTAACCCAGTCCTGCTAACCAAGCTAAAACTCCCGGGGTCTAGTTGGGGGAAAAAAAGTCGTATGCTCTGATGCAGGTTTGAAGGTTCAAATTCCTTTGGGGACTGAGAGATAATGTTTGAAATTTAAATGTGTTGTTTGCAAAATCGTTATGCTTCCCAAAATCTCGTTCTTAGTTCAATGCATTGTAAAGTTATGATGAAAAAACATATTCAACCCGTGTACCTGACTTAAAATTTTCCACACCTAAAAACTGATTTCTGACTGAAATGTCACAATCAACAAAAAGAGCATTTGCGAATTGAAAGGAATCACTTTTAAATGTAAACCTTAGATTCTGGACGCATTTGAATACGAGGGTATAAAAAAGTGAAAACAAAAAGGGGGAATTTTATGTTCGAATATTACAAAGTGATAAAAAAAATTTGGTTTTTGGGTTTCTTGAAGCCAAATTTCATAGAAGGTCTTAAGGAACATGTAACTGTAACCACCGTAAAGGTAAAATTAAACCCTATAAGGGGATTGAGTTAAATTCGGTGTATGCTAGAATACATTTGGGTTATAAAAAGACTTATTAAAAATACCGATTCCAAGGGTCGAGAGGCTCGTGTCACCCATGCGCCCCGGTCAAAGGGTACTTAAAAACCCCCGATATTTGGATTAAGTAACTTTACGAGTATACACATGTATTATATACACCCTCCAGTGAATTACTCTCAGTGATATAAAGCGATCAAAATTTTAAAAAAGGGTCATTAAGGTGCATGAAGTTTTTATCACCCGTTGATATTAAAAGCTAATTAGGGTTTTGAGAAATGAAAATGACACACTCACACAGATATGATGTATGTTAAGTGTACTGCTCGTTGCCGGGGTTTAAGTACATCACGAGAGATAACACATTAGTTAAAAGCAAAGTCTAAAAATTTTGGGCTTGAAATTTAAAAAAATTAACAAAAAACTTAATATTTAAGCTGAAAATGTATTATAAGAGGAGGAGAAGAGAGCAAAATGTTTTAATTTTAGTTAATGTTTCAGTTCTATATTTTGTTATTTTTACTTAAAGGGAAAGGGGAACGTCAACTGTTTATCTTTGGAACACTCTTTTTCATCCTATCTTTTGGGTTTTTTGAGGGCCCTGTGCCGAGATGGGAGGCGGGCGCTCTGCCCCCAACGCAACCCCCAGGTCTACTCCCCCATCCTTACTCAAACATCTCGGTCTAGAGAAGACTCAGAGATACAAGTAGCAACACTATTTAATTCTCGGCAAATAGCCTCGGTATGAACTCTAAGGTCTTCTAGAAGCTATGTCTCTTTACTATGCACTCCCATACACCCCCACCTACGTACTAATATTTACTCCCTTGTTGCTCTTCCATTAGCATCAGGATAACGTGGATTCAGAACACATTTCTATCTGGGTGTAATTCACGACGGAATTTTTCGTGTTATGAATCATGACCAGTTATGTGCGGGTTATTTGTGTAATGTTTCCTTCTTTTGCTATGAATAACTAGCTTCCATTCAGCTGTTGCATTTCTCTATTAAGCAGCAATATTCCAAAGAGCTGACCCATTCCCACTGTAGAAGGAGCTCTCTCTCTGTTGTTGAAGTAGAAATATTCAAATTATTGTGGTACTTAAACTCTGCTACAAGTAATCTCTGGGAGGTGGGTGAAGCTCCTACCGTTCAGCCAGTCTCTGGACATAGACCTCCTGGCACAACCCACGTATCTATAGTATATCGCCTTACTGTACAATGCCGTACTCTCCTTACAGTGTCAACCAATCACATTACTGGAGGGACGATGCCGGCGAGCCTTGGCTGACAGCAAGAGTACTGGAGAACGCGAATGATGCTGAGAACAATACTCTCACTCATTCTGTGGTGAGGCCTGACTGGTCACTTGTTCAGGGAACCTTCACACACCTAAAAGATGAGAACTTCGAAGAATTCCTTATAACCAGTGGTACGTCATGATGTATTTGAAGTACAATAATTTGGGCTATAACCTCCGATGTTTCAGTGGCCGGATAAGCTCTTGGGAGTTAGCGTGGGCTGTTACCAAACACCATGGCTTGTTGTAGTGTTTTAGAATCTCAGGTTCAAGTGTTGAAGGAGATTCTACTTCTTCAGGAGGAAAATAGGAGGCTGAAGCTTCGCATAGATGAGTTTGGGAGCGAGTGTGAGAAGGATTTAGCTGGTAAGGAAGGAATGGTCGCCAGCAGTGATAGTGGCAGCCGCTCTAAGTGGCAAGTGGTTCACAGTTCAGGAAGAAGGAAGATGAGGAGAGTTAATAAAGAAGATGTGAAGGTAGGAAATCGATTCTCTGTTCTCTAAGACGAGTGTACTTCAGTGGTTAGTGAGGTTGAAGGTACCACTGATTTCCCTGCTAATCAAGGTAAGAATATTTTAATAGTAGACGATTCTCAGGTAAGATATATGGACCGTGCATTTTGTAACAGAGACAGAAAGGTCAGACAGAGAGTGTGTCTTCCTGGAGCTGGTGTTGGTGACATAGCAGGTTGGATAATATTATGGCAGGTAATGGGAACAAGCCCATTATCTGTCTTAGTGCTGGAGGTAATGACATTGGGAAGGGCAGGAGAGAGGAGCTGCTGGATAAGTACGTCAGCCATAGAAGTAGTTAGGTCTAAGGGAGGGATTCCAGTCATATATAGCATCTTGCCTAGAAAGGGAGTGGGCAATGAATGGATGTCTAGGGTAATTGGTATAAATTGATGGCTAGACAGGTACTGCAAGGAGCTTGCAATCCCATTCATTGATAACTGGGACCTATTCTTTGACAAACGTGATATGTATGCAAGGGATGGGGTTCATCTCTCTGGGGATGGAGTGGTTGCATTAGCCAATTCAATTGAGAGGGTAATTGAAGACTTGTCTAGGAATTTAAACTGATAGATTATAGAGGTATGGGTGTTTGTGGGAAACAATCAGGATGCAGCATTAGGGTTAAAAAAAGCAGTTATTACTGGGATACCTCAGGGATATGTTTAAAAGACAATATTCAAAATAAAGTTGCTAGTAATGGCAAATCAATTGATCAACAAACAAAGAGGGATAGTAGAGGGCAACGAGTGACTAGCTCCCTTATAGTTTACTATACAAATAGTAGGAGTCTAAGAAATAAGATAGATGAGCTAAGATTACTTGCAAGTGTAGGTAATATAGATATTATTGGTATAACAGAGACCTAGTTCAACCTGAAAGATAGAGAAATGCCTTCTGAATGCAACATACAGGGTTATAAACTATTCCACACTGACAAGGTCAACAGGAAGGGTGGTGGAGTGGCGATGTAAGTCAGAGAAAATTTAAATTGTTGTCTTAGACATGATATAAGATTAGAAACATCGAACACAGAATCTGTTTGGCTACAGTTTCTCGAGGGACATGACAAATTAATTTTGGGTGTGATTTATAGGCCCCCAAACCTTGATAGGGAGGGCAGTAAGCTGTTATGGGACGAAATTCATAAGGCATCTAGATATGAAAATGTTGTTATAATGGGAGATTTTAACTTTAGACAAATTGATTGCAACAATATGTCAGGAAATCTTGAGTCTAGTGACTTTCTTGATACGGTTCAGGATTGGTTTTTAAAACAGGTTGTGACAGAACCAACTAGAGGAAACAATCTGCTTGACTTAGTTCTTGCCAACAAAGATTCACTAATTAATAATCTTGAGGTTAATGATGAGCTTGGGGAAAGTGATCACAAATCACTTAGTTTTAATATATCATGGAATTACCCTGATAACTGCAATCAAATCTGTCCCAGATTTTCACTTGGCCGACTTCATGGGACTGAAAAATTACCTGGGTGGGCTAAATTGGGATGTCCTGACTATGGGTCGGGTAGGTGATCTTGGTTGCCAATATGACGTTTTTCAAAGATTAGTTCTAGCTGCCCAGACAACTTTTGTTCCGAGTAGGGAAATTAGATCTAACAAAAATGATCCCAAATGGATGAACAATAGATTAAAACATCTCATTGGTCAAGAGAGAGGCATATATAGGCGTATCAAAAGAGGGGATGGGCAGTTAAGAAATCGATATATTCAATTAAAGAGAGAAATAAAGAAAGGAATAAGAAAAGCAAAAAGGGATTATGAGACTAAGGTCGCAAGGAATTCAAAGATTAACCCTAAAGGATTCTTTCAGGTATACAGAAGTAAGATTAGGGACAAGATTGGCCCACTTAAGAGTAACTCTGGTCAGATCACTGACAGTGATAAGGATATGTGTGAAATTCTAAATACCTACTTCCTCTCAGTTTTCACCCAGGAAAATACTAGCGATATTCCTGAAATAATAGATTATGTAGAACAGGATGATGATAAACTATGTACAATTGCGGTAACTAGTGACATGGTCCTCAGACAAATAGAGAAACTAAAACCTAACAAATCCCTAGGCCCTGATGAACTGTTTGCAAGGGTGTTAAAGGAATGTAAAGAGGAACTTAGCATACCTTTGGCTAATCTTTTTAACGTATCACTACAAACTGGCATAGTGCCTGATGAGTGGAAAATGGCAAATGTAATACCTATTTACAAGGCAGATGACAGGTCCTTGGCTTCGAACTATAGACCAATAAGCCTTACCTCCATAGTGGGAAAATTTATTGAATCAATAATTGCAGAATCAATTCGTAGCCATCTTGACAGGCACAGATTGATTAATGAATCTCAACACGGTTTTACAAAGGGGCGTTCCTGTCTTACGAATTTACTAACTTTTTTCACTAAGGTGTTTGAGGAGGAAGATCATGGTAATGAATATGATATTGTGTATATGGACTTCAGTAAGGCTTTCGATAGAGTTTCCACACCAGAGGCTATTGAGGAAACTTAAGGCACACGGAACAGGAGGAGAATTTTTTTCCTGGGGTAGAGGCATGGCTGACAAATAGACCGCAGAGAGTTTGCATAAATGGGGAGAAATCAGAATGGGGGCACGTCACAAGCGGTGTTCCTCAGGGGTCAGTGTTGGGCCCGTTGTTGTTCACAATTTACATAAACGACATAGATGAGGGAATAAATAGCGACATAAGCAAATTTGCTGATGACACCAAAATAGGCCGTCCAATTCATTCTAATGAGGACGCTAGAGCACTCCAGGATTATTTGAATAGACTGATGCAATGGTCGGAGAAGTGGCAGATGCAGTTTAATATTGACAAATGCATAGTTCTAAATGTTGGACAGGTAAATAACCATGCCACATATAAACTAAATAATGTAGATCTTAATAATACTGATTGCGAAAAGGATTTAGGAGTTCTGGTTAGCAGTAATTTAAAACCAAGACAACAGTGCATTAGTGTTCGCAATAAAGGTAACAGAATTCTTGGCTTCATTTCTAGAAGTATAAATAATAGAAGTCCTCAGGTTGTTCTTCAACTCTATATATCCTTGGTTAGGCCTCATTTAGACTATGCTGCTCAGTTCTGGTCACCGTATTACAAAATGGATATAAATGTTCTGGAAAACGTACAGAGGAGGATGACAAAGATGATCCCATGCATCAGAAATCTTCCCTATGAGGATAGACTGAGGGCCCTGAATCTGCACTCTCTCGAAAGGCGTAGAATTAGGGGGATATGATCGAGGTGTATAGATGGAAAACAGGAATAAATAAAGGGGATGTAAATAGCGTGCTGAAAATTTCCAGCCAAGACAGGACTCGCAGCAATGGTTTCAAGTTGGAAAAATTCAGATTCAGGAAGGATATAGGAAAGCACTTGTTTGGTAATAGAGTTGTGGATGAGTGGAACATACTCCCGAGTACAGTTATTCAGGCTAAAACGTTGTGTAGTTTTAAAAATAGGTTAGATAAATTCATAAGTGGGTGTGGGTGGGTGTGAGTTGGACCTGACTAGCTTGTGCTGCTGGGTCTGGTGCAGTGCTCCATCCTTGAGTGGAGATGATCAGACTGGGTGGGTCATTGGGCTAATCTGGGGGGGATGGGTCATTGGTCTAATCCGGGGGGGGGACATGGACCTGCTCCGCATGGGTCAGTAGGCCTGTTGCAGTGTTCCTTCTTTCTTATGTTCTTAATAGTCTAGTCAGAGATCGGACAGCGAATATAGAACGGAGGATAGAGGCTCGACCCTTCCTTACGCCGAATGATCAACAGGAGCTCAGGGCTATATTGAAGGCAGCAATACCCGGGCTAATCATTTTTCATGACTTCGTGCAAAAAGAACTAAGCAGATTAAACCCAGCTAAGAGCACCGGCTCAGATAACATTCTTGGTAAATTCCTAACAGATGGTGCCTCTGAATTGCCAATCCCCATTGCTCACATAATAAATTTGTCCATCACCACTAATACCGTACCGGGGCGGAGGGGGGATGCAAGGAGGCCAGAGTTACTTTTATCTTCAAGAAAAATAATAGGCTTGATGTCAGCAACTACAGGCCTGTTAGGATGCTCAGTATAATATCCAAAATTCTAGAGAGGGCGGTGCACGCTCAAGTAATTAAGTATCTTAACGACAACAACATTCTCCATAGTTACTAATCAGGCTTTAGGAGATCTTACTCAACCGACCCCTCCTTAATTAACCTGATGGATTACAAAAGAACTGAAATGTCGATAGGGAACCTCACAGACTTGCAAAAGGCCTTCGATACTGTCAACCACAATATATAATGTAAGAAACTTCAAGCTATCGGCATAGGTTCCGTAGACTGGTTTAGTCCTACCATAACAACAGGACACAAATTGTCAAAATCAACAAAACAGAATCAGAACCCCTGCCGATAGCATGTGGAGCTCCCCAAGCTAGTATTCTGGGTCCTTTATTATTCCTATGTTATGTAAACGACATGCCCATCAGTGTCAAGTGCAAACTCTTACTGTTTGCAGATGACAGTGCTCTGTTAGTGTCAGGTAAAGACCCACAAGATATAGCTAATGTAATAACACTGGAACTGGAGTCCTGCAGCAAATGGTTAGTAGACAACAAACTATTGTTACACCTAGGAAAAACGGAAGCCACACTCTGGCACGAAACATAAACTGAGAAGGGTAAATAATTTTAATGTCCGGTGTAATGGGGAACCCATCACTTCAGTTTCCTCAGTAAAATATCTGGGAATCCCCTTTGATCCATGTATGTCAGGAGAACTGATAGGGAACAGTGTAGTAAAGCCAGACTGAAGTTCCTTTACAGATAAGCACAGTGTCTACGTACTGAGGCTCGCAGGGCCCTATTTATTTATTTATTTATTTATTTCCAATTTGTGCACACATACAGAGGTACAAAAAAAATACAGATAAGAGCAGTATGCCAAAGCCACTTATACTATGCATAGCATTACGGGCTGGCTTAAAATTAACTTAAGATTAACTAAGCAATGATTATTATTATTATTATAATCAAAAAGAAGCGCTAAGCCACAAGGACTATACAGCGCTGCTACTAAGCAATGATGAAATCAGTGATAAAACATTAATGTAAACAGATAACTATAAAGCACAAGTGAGTATTACAAAGACAGGTCATATGGTTGCATTCAGTTAGGTAGTGATTCTGTTAGGTAGTGTATTTAAAAAATAATAAAGTTAGATTGGGTTTTAGGTTTAACATTTATGTGATATAATTGTGAGAAACATTTAAGATATACAATTTATAATGTTCAGTTATTCAGTATTTATTTGGTTTTGGGTGAGTAAGTAATCTTTGAGAAGAGACTTGAATTTATAAACAGGTTGTGTTTCTTTTATATTTACAGGTAATGAATTCCAGATTTTAGGGCCTTTTATGTGCATTGAGTTTTTGCATAGTGTGAGATGGACACGAGGAACATCAAAGAGTGATCTGTGCCTTGTGTTATGGTCATGTGTTCTGTTGAGGTTGGCAAGGAGATGTTTGAGGGGAGGGTTAATATCAGAGTTAAGTGTTCTATGTATGTAATAGGTGCAGTAATAAGTATGGATGTTTTGTATGGTGAGTAGGTTTAGTGTATTGAATATTGGTGGAGTGTGCTGCCTGTAGTGAGAATTTGTTATCATTCTAACTGCAGCCTTTTGTTGGGTAATTAGTGGTCTGAGATGGTTAATTGTTGTTGAGCCCCATGCACAAATTCCATAGGTGAGATAGGGGTAAATAAGAGAGTGATATAGGGCCAGGAGTGCTGACTGTGGAACATAGTACCGTATCTTCGATAGTATGCCTACAGTCTTGGAAATTTTCTTAGAAATTTGATGTATATGTGTATGAAATTTGAGTCTATTATCAAGGTGGATTCCTAAGAATTTTCCCTCTGTTAGTTTTGTGATAGGTGATCCATTTATCATTATGTTAAGAGGGACATCTGTAGCCTTTATACAATGTCATATGGACTACGCTTGCTCTTCATGGTACTCTGCCTTGATAAAAAAAAAAAAAAAAAAAAAAAAAAAACGCTGAAAGATAGACCACAAATCGCCCAGAACAAAATGGTAAGATTCATCCTGGACCTGGGTCTAAGAGAACATGTAGGCCTAGATGAATTACGATAATTGGATATGCTGAATGCTGAAGACAGAGTAAAACAACTGAAGTTAAATCAAGTTTATAAAATTGCTCACAAACTGTGTTCAGAATATCTTGCTGCCAATTTTGTCAAGGCTGGGAACCAAAGCAATCATAGTACTAGAGGGAGAGGGCACACCTTTGTAGTAGCAGCAATAAAGGAATGGAACAGACTGCCTGCACATGTCAAAGCCAGTCATAGCATGAGCCAGTTCAAGACGAGAGCCAAAAGATGTCTGATGAATGTAGCGACAGAAAGAGAGGAGAATGATTTTTAATTTTTTTAGCAAACACACATGTAAATGTAAATAACGCATTTTACCTTAGCCCTAGTATATCTCCTTTATAGTATATTAATAATATATATCTTTTATACTATAATAATGAGGTATTAAAAGGATCCCAATGGAAATAAGTCATGTGGAAACTTATTCGGTCCTAAAGTTTCACAGGGCAGATACGTCGTACGAAGATCCCAACATGCCACGGATGGTACGGCTGAGTTGGGGGGCCCTTACATCCACCCAAAACACACACATACACCCGGGTTGGCAAAGGTGGTTGGAAGGTACATTTTAATTGATCGATTTACCCTTCAAGGAAGAGGTAGGTAGCGTACCCTACAGGCGTCTCCTCGTTGTTAAGCTTAGAACCTAGTGTCACTTCCTGTATAGTTATACTAGGGGTTACTCTCCCCCTTGGAAACGGGATTTTCTGAGGTTCAGGCAGGTCACTAATACCGACTGAATATTGCAGGAATTAAGGCTCCCGGTTGCACGTGGTTCTGAGGGGAAGTCCAGAGGGGCTAAAGCTTAGGGAGGTTGAAGACTGGGATATATTCTCCAACACCAAGTAAGTTAGTCCTTTATTCGCGCATGCAGGCGAGATTTCTTGCAACATCAGTCATTTATGGAAATCTGTCCTATAAGCCACTTGTGAGGCTGAGATACCAGCCTCAGAGCTTGGTGTCAACAGAGCTTGCAAGGGTAGACAACTCACATGGAGGCAGTCCAGACAAATATCCACAAGTCACTTTGTCTGACTTTTTTTGGGTTATCCTAGGTTCTCTACACGTATGATGCTATGTATGATAATATATGTAATTGTATTTGTGTATACCTGAATAAACTTACTAAAGTCTGGCCACAGACAGGTCAGTAGGAACAGAAGGACATCTGTAACAACTGAGTGCATCACATCCATTACTTTCAAGGGCTCTTCCTAGAAGCTAAGCATCCATCAGCTGGCAGTAAACTCCAGGAAAGTTTTGTGACGCTGACCATGAGAATTCCCTCTACTGACGTCAGTTAGTTTATTAACTCACTTGCCATACAGAGTTCCACCTCATTTTTTGTAGGTTCCAGAAAACTCTTAAAGGGTCGATTGATAGTTAGAAATATTAGAAAATGAATGTTGGTATTGATATTGCGCTCATACAGATTTATACACAGGTATACAATGGTACATAAAGACATACTAGTATATGAATGTATACATTGTTTAGCACAGTGTACTGAAGAATGATAAAAAAATAATAATTATTTTATTTTTATTAACCATATAAGGTGCAGTTTCTTAAGGACGCGTGGTATATACACGGAGTTATACATCTCTCACACTGCATTCCCTAAGAGTTTATTATAATCCACGTTATAGGGATTAAAATATTCTTGTTAGTGCACAGGTACAGTTTATAAACTGTACCCTTAAAAAACATGAATCAGGAGAAATTTTATCCATCATCTTATCCACGTAGGGGTTCCGTACATAGTGCGTAGCATCATCGTGAAGGCTGTACCAACTGTGACCATCGAGTATTTCTACCAGAATGATGATTACTACTACGACCTCGAAAATCACTACATAGGTAATATGCTTTCTTTTTCTCAGTCGGGTTCCTGATAAACTCTTGGTTTATTTTTATGAACTGGCTAACAACATCCGCATGTAAAACTCCAACAATGTTAGTCTCAGTACTTTTCATTATTTAGTCACTTCTGTTTACCAAAATAACACTTATTAAATAAACATTTGACATGTAATATAAAAACTGTGAGATATTACCTGCATGAGGTTTACAAGGTATTACCTGAGTTATTACATGCAAGTAATTTGGGTGAGGTAAGTGGGACTTAGTCACAGTAGGTCACAGGAGTGTCACTCCTTCGATGCTCACTCCATCACCACTCACAAAAAAGCTTGACCTGACATTAAATTAATAATTACAATATTAAACATTAATACCAATAATGGTGAATTATAAAATAGTGTGGACTGTATATTATTTGGCTTGCTGGATACATAGAATACAATTATTGTACAATGCATATAATGCAGTAGTGTTATTAGAAAAGAAATTTGTATTACCACTTACCATTTAATTACTGCACCATCCACACGTAATTCTGGAGGTCCCGCAAATTTCCTGTCCCAATTCTTCAGCAGGAGACATTAACACGGGTTTCTATTACAGATTTGGGCCGAAACACCCAATTATGGCCTCGATGACGGCGGACTACTAGACAATTTCACCACAATCAGTGCTCACACATTACTTCATTATGCTATCCTCTCTCCCCAGTATGACTCCGAGGCCGCTGCACACCCTCCTTAACACAAAATTTCTTGAAGGATCAAATCAACATCACATTTTAAAACAATTATTATATTATTCATATTAACACATGCTGAATTTAGGAAAATTATAAAAAAATCCACAAAAACGAATGAATACCTTCCTGCATTTTGTCTGTATGTCTGTTTGTATGTCTGTCTGTATATATGTCTGTATGTCTGTCTCTCTGGCTGTCTCTCTCTAAAAACTAGCTACTGCACTTGATTTTAACTAAAATTTACCCACAACAGTAGCTAAAATTTTTAGTTAGTCAATGGATAAGACATCAATATTTTTTTTTGAACCGACGAGAGAAAAGGTTTAACTTTCATGTAAAGAGCTCCGTTGTGGAAGATATCATGTGCATGTCAGTACCGTTATTAAGACAGTTAAAACCTTTTCTTTCGGCAGACACTGACTTGGACAAACTGGGTGTAGGCGATGGTCGAGTGTATCAGGTAGTCATTACGACGGACACCTGGATCAAGAGCAATGAGGAGAGATTCCGTCCAGGTTATGCCTTCGTCAAGCAGGACTATGATGGCACACCATCCAAGGTTGGCTGCCCTTTATTTAAGGATGTGAAAAGTTAATTTTAGGTGTGTTGTATGGCTACCCAATTCAAAAAGTGGCCAGTGAAAACTTGTGTGGGACGATATTTTAAATGTTCTATAGCAGACATTCAGATTTTTTTAAATGATACATAGCGTGAGTCAGTTTGAATCGTTGATTCAGTCTCAAATGAGAGGTGAGACATATGTGGTAACTAATGGTAGGTGATGTCATACGCAGAACACGTACTGGTTTGTCTCCCCCAGCGTCCTAATGCATCAGAAGCAGAAAGAGAAGGTCACTATAAACATTATTCGCAGCTTCCACGCTGACGGCTTTATTATGGTGAGTTATTATTACAAGTGTCTTCGCTACACCTGCCCTTACTACACCTGTCCTCGCTTCACCTGTCTTCATTACACTACTATTCTCATTACACCTGTCCTCATTGTACCCGTCATCACTACACTTGTCATCACTACTATTCTCATTACACACGTCATCACTACACCTGTCCTCATTATACCCACCATTATTACTCTGCCTCCACAATACCTATTTATAGTAGTTCTCACTATACCGGTTTTCACTACACGTTATGTGTACCTGGTGGTTTGTGTCGCCTCATTCATCCAGCTTCACAATGTAATATTCACATTATTTGTGTAATAAGAATGCAGCAATGGGGTGGCCGAGTTATAAATGTCTGTATATACTCACCTAATTGTAGTTGTAGGGATCGATTCATAGCTCCTGGCCCCCGCCTCTTCACTGGACACTACTAGGTCCACTCACTCCCTGCTCCATGAGCTTTATCATACCTCTTCTTAAAGCTATGTATAGCTCCTGCCTCCACTACATCACTCTCCAGACCGTTCCACTTCCTGACAACTCTGTGACTAAAGAAGTACTTCCTAACATCCCTGTAACTCATAAGAGTTTTCAGCTTTCGGTTGTAATCCCTTGTTGCTGTGTCAATCTCTGAAACATTCTGTCCCTATCCACCTCCTCAATTCCTCTCAGTATTTTATATGTCGTTATCGTGTCTTCCCTATCCCTCCTGTCTTCAAGTGTTGTCAGGTTGAGTTCCCTCAACCTATCCCCGTAAAACAAACCCCTCAACTCCTGGACTAGTCTTGTTGCAAACCCTTGCACTTTCTCTAATTTCTTGACATGGTTAGCAAGGTATGTGTCAAACACTTGCGTGTGTGTGTGGACTCGCATGTGTTTTATTACCTGTTATAATTTGCAAGGAAAAAGGAGTGGGATCTAGCTCTTGGCCCCGCCTCTTAACTTTAAATTCCTCTCCTGTAAGGACTCGAGCTGTCCTGTCTCTCTACAAATTGCTGTACAAATTAGTCTCCGTGTGTGGTTTATAATAACATTCTCTTACACTGTCTCGGGTCCAACAGCATTATGTATTCCGTAATAAGATCCCCTCTTGTTCGTCGTTCTTGCACTACTTCTCATGCCTCTTCTTATGGCTAACACTCCCAGTCCTCAGTCTAGAAGTGTTTATGTTGATATTCTGCTCTTCTAGGTCAGCAGCCAGGAAGCCTAGGCTTCCTGGTTGCTGGGCGGTGACCTCCGGAAGCACTACATGATACTCACAGGTGAAGATTCAATTCAATTCAATTCAATTCAAATTCAAAGTTTATTCTCTATAAGTATTACAATGCTGAGTTTACAGAATTTGGTTATTGTGTGGTTTACATGTAGTAAAATAATAATTACAGAGTGTACCACTAGAACACCTAGCATGGCTAGGCATTTCGGGCAGACTTATATTAAATCTTAAGTTTAAAATATTATACACCGGTGCTGTGTATATGACCAGGTCTGTATCAATATTTAGGTTTGATATTTTTTTTTTTTACATTGCTGTCAGTGAAAAAATATATGCATCAATCTATAATTTTTTTCTGGATAAGTTAAATTTTTGCGAGTTTCGCCTATTTGGGAAGTTTGACTTACGTATTAGGCACGACGGGGCTTTAGGTCCTAGCACTAAGAGCAGACCGGTCTACGCTGAGGTCAGTGGTCACCTGCGGTCATACCTGCCTAAGCTCTTGGGAGTTGGCGTGGGCTGTTACCAAGCACCATGGCTTGTTGTAGTGTTTTTAGAATCTCAGGTTCAAGTGTTGAAGGAGATTCTACTTCTTCAGGAGGAAAATAGGAGGCTGAAGCTTCGCATAGATGAGTTTGGGGGGGGGTGAGAAGGATTAGCGGGAAAGGGAGGAATGGCACCACATATAGTGACAGCCATTTTTAAGGGGCAAGTGTTCACAGTTCGGGAAAAAGGAAAGAGAGGAGAGTTAATGAGAAGATTAAAGGGTGGAAATCGATTCTCTGTTCTCCAAGACAGTGTACTTCAGGGTTATGGGGTTGAAGGTACCACTGATTCCCCTGCTAACCCCCAAGGTAAGAATTTTTTAAAGAGCATTCCGTAAGATATAGGACAGTGCATTTTGTAACAAGCAGAAAGGCAGAAAAGAGTGTCCCTTCCGTTGGTTTTTGGTGACATAGCAGGGGGATAATTTGGGGCAGGTAAGGGGAACAAGCCCATTTCTGCCCTTTTTTGCTGGGGAAATGACATTGGGAAGGCAGAGAGGGGGAGCTGCGGATAAGTACAGGTCCCCAAAAGAGTAGTTATCTAAGGGAGGATCCCAGTCATAGAGCATTTTCCTAGAAAGGGAGTAGGCAATGAATAATTTGTAAAGGGGAAATTTGGGTAAAATTTGCTGGCTAACTGCTGAAAGGGAAACTTGCAAATCCATTCATTGAAACGGGGACCTATTTTTTGGCAAAGGATATGTATGGAAGGGATGGGGCCCATCTCTCTGGGAGGAGGGGTTTTGCATTAGCCAATTCAATTGGGGGGGTAACTGATGACTTTCTAGGAATTTTAAAACTGATAGATATAGGGTAGGGTTTTGTGGAAAGAACAGGCTGCAGCTTAGGGTTAAAAACAGCAGTTATTACCGGAAAAACCCGGGGATTTTTAAAAGACAATTTTTCAAATAAAGTTCTAGTAAGGCAAATCAATTGATCAACAAAAAAAGGAGATAGAAAGGGGGCAACGAGTCACTAGCCCCCTTAAGGTCTACTATACAAATAGTAGGAGTTTAAGAAATAAGGGTGTGAGCTAAGATTACTTGCACGTGTAGCAATATAGATATTATTGGTAAAAGGGAGACCTGGTTAAAACCGAAAGTTCGAGAAATCCTTTTCTGAATGCAAATACGGGGTTTAAACTTTTTCCAAAACTGTGGGGTCAACAGGAAGGTGGTGGTTGGCGATGTATGTCAAAAAATTTTTAAAATTGTTGTCTTGACATGATATAAATTAGAAACATCAAAACACAGAATCGTTTGGCTACAGTTTCCTCGAGGACAAATTAATTTGGGTGTGTTTTAAGGGCCCCAAACCCTTTGATAGGGAGTGGGGGAAAGCTGTTATGGGACAAAATTTCATAAGGATCTAGATAGAAAATGTTGTTAAGGGGAGTTTTTTAACTTTAACAATTGAGGGAAAAAAATTTACAGGAAATCTTGAGCTGGGACTTTTTGATACGGTTCAGGTTTTGTTTTTTTTAGAACGGTTGGACAGAACCAACTAGAGGAAAAAATCTCTTGGTTTGGTTTTTGCCAACAAAGATTCACTAATTAATAATCATGGGGTTTTAATATAGTTTGGGGAAAGTGACACAAATCACTTATTTTTCTTTTTTTTTTATTACACACGGCCCGATTCCCCCCAAAGGCAGGGGCCAAAAAAAAGAAAAACTTTCCAACCATCATTTCACTCCATCACGTCTTCCAGAAGGGTGTTTTTTACACTACATTTTTTTAAACTGCAGCATAAAAAAACCCCTCCTTCAGAGTGCGGGCACTGTATTTTCCCTCCCCAGGACTCAAGTCCGGCCTCCGGGTTTCCCCCGAATCCCTTCATAAATGTTACTTTGCTCACACTCCAACGCACATCAAGTATTAAAAACCTTTGTCCCCTTTCACCCCTACAAACCCCGCTCACACATGCCCGCTGGAAGTCCAACCCCCTCCACCAAAACCCTTTACCCCCTCCCCCAACCTTTCCTGGGGCCGACCCCTACCCCTTTCCCTTTCCACACAGACGATACCTCTTGAAGTCATTCGTTTCGCTCCATTCTCTCTACATTCCGAACCACCTCAACAACCCTTCCTCAGCCCCCTTGGACACATTTTGGCAACCCAACCTCCTCCTAACTTCCAAACTACGAATTCTCTGCATTATATTCCCCCCACACATTGCCTTCAACATGACATCCCACTGCCTCCACCCTTCCCCTCGCTGCAACTTTAAACACCCATGCTTCACCCTCATATAAGAGTGTTGGTAAAACTATCCTCATACACCCCTCTTTGCCCCAAGGAAAAAATTCTTTGCCCCCCACAGACCCCAAAAGGCACCACTACCCTTTTCCCCCCTCTAAATTTCTAGTTCACCTCATTTTTCATAACCCATCCGCTGACACTCCACTCCCAAATACGAATACATCACCTCCTCCATACGTCTCCCTCCAATCTGATTCCAATCTTTCATCACCTAATCTTTTTTTTATCCTCAAAACCTTACTTTTCCTGTATTCACTTTTTAATTTTTTTCATACCCACCAAAATTTCATCCCCCAACCCTGCAACTTCTCTTCAAATCTCCCAAGAGCACAGTTAAATCACAAAGAGCACGGGAAAAAACTCCCACTTTGTGTGTTTTTTAATCTTTTAACTCCACGCCTCTTGCCAAGACCCTTTCTTTACTTCTCTTTCATCCCCATCATAAATATATTTAAAAAACACGGTGACACACCATCCTTTGCCTAAGGGCCCACTTTTTTTCTGGGAAATAATCTCCCTCTTTTTCCCACATACTCTAACTTGAGCCCCTATCCTCATAAAAACTCTTGCGCTTTTAGTAACCTACCTCCTATCCATATACCTGCAACACGACACATTGCCCCCCCTTTCCACCCTTCATAAAAGCCTTTTTTCCCCAATCCATAAATGCCACAAAAACCCCTTTAGCCTTTTCTAAATCTGTTCCCCCTTAAAATGTTTTTTACTGTAAACAAACCCGGGCCACACACCCCTACCTTTCCAAAGCCCCTTGTTCATCTGCTACCATTCTCCCCTCTTACTCTTTTAAATTTTTTCAATAAAACTCTACCATACACTTTACCAGGTATACTCAACAACTTATCCCCTATAATTTTTGCACTCTCTTTTGTCCCCCCTTGCCTTTTAAAAAAAGAAATATGCATGCCCCTCTGCCAAACCCTAGGGACCTCACCCTTTCCTACATTATTAAAT